GAGATTAATATATTCTTGTTATTATTAATAATATTAATTATTTAATGCATGCCCTTTCACGTGGTTTATTTCAGTAAGAGGACTGTTGACAGCCTGTAGTTGTCATGTTTAATTATTTGTTTATAGTTTTCGATTCATCCCATCTAGAATACACGCTCCATAAGGGCAGGGTTCACGCAGGTTTTATTTGCTGATTAATCTCCAGCACTTAGCACAGGTCTTGGCATAAATTAGTTGAAAGGAAAATAGAAGAAAGAAGGAAGGGAGAAAGAGAAACAGAAAGAAAATATGGAAGGAAAGAAGAGAAGAAGAGAGGGAACAAGGAAAAAGTCACAAGAAAGTGCTCTAAGTAGTAGAGGATCAAACTCATATTGAGAATTTTGTTATTGTTAAGTGTCTTCCAGTTGGTTCCAAGTCCTAGTGATCCTGTACAAAGATTTCCAAGAAGCAGCTGGTAGATTTGAACCACGAAACTTGTGGTTAGCAGTACAATACTTATCCTACAGAGCTGGGAGATTAAATATTGTACCTGCAGATATGTATTCCCACCAAAGGAGTATATTAATTTTCTGACCCTTCAGCAAATCTATATATTTGCCAAGTAAAGATAAGAGTTTCTCTGAGTGACTCGTCACAATTTCATAGATGATTCTGATGAACTGCCTTTAAAATAGAGGAGCATTGAGCTCTAACTCTACCCAAGGAAAAAAAATAATTGTAATGTGAGTGAGAAGAGCTCAGAGAAATTAAGCATACTATTGCTATAGGTCACAGAATTATAGACAGCAAGCTAGAGATTTCTGCATGCTTAGGTTTCAGGAAACAAAGATTAGGAGACAAGAATAATGTGTAGTCAAGGAAAAGAACAAGCTTTGCCAAAACATCCCTTTATACTATTGAGTCAGGCCACACCCCCAAAGAAATTTCACTTTCAACTGATCATATCATGGACGGCTATTGCATTACATTACATTATAGAAGTACAATTAGTCCAGTGTCTACCACACCACTAAGAATCATAGCATAGCCAAGCTGACATACTTTGCATACTGGATAAAAACTCTTACCATTGAGTTGATTAAGAATAGAATTGCCCCATAGTGTTTCCAGGGTTGTAAATCTTTACAGAAGTAGATCTTTCTCTAGCAGAGCAACTTTTGGATTAAAACTGCCAACTTTTGCATCAGCAGCTGAGTGCTTAACCACTGTACCACTAGTGCCCCTTGTGTATGGGGAAGGAATCCACTTATATATTCTATTATGCATTCTTCTTACAGTAGAATTCTCATATATTTAAGGTTACTAACCGGGACTATTTGATGTACAAGTGTTCAGCCTTTGATTCTAAAGATCTTAAACTTTATATAACCATTCCTACATTTCTTCATGTCATGCTTTGCATACCAAGATCTGGTTTTTCACCTTGACCTCATAAGATGGAGCAATTTTTCACATGGTGGGATTACCTACAAACTCTGGCCTTTCTTTCTAGACATTTTTCCAGGGGGATAGTCGTCCCTCATTAGAGACATTCCAGACTGTATCACAATTTAATACAAGGAAAATATAAAGAAGACACATACAGTTAATAAGAAATATATGGATCATTTCATTGTCCAAACATGGCATAAATACACCAAAGATATATTTGGAATATTACTGAGTAGATAATGAATTGCCCGTGCTCTATGCATGCACATCACCCAGTATAGGTGAGTGGGGATTTTTCATAGAAAGTTTGCTAGCCAGAACTGGGAGCTTCTTTGGCTTATACTCAGCAAAATAGCATGCCTAGTTTAGTGGTGTGGTCCTGATCAATTCAAAATGAAGCTTATTCCTTCTTTATCTGGTCTTATGTAAGAACTAATATTCAGGAAATAAATAAAAGAGAATCTCTCACTCTTTCTTTTAGTCTAATACATTATATTAATTTGAGTGAAATTGAATATTGAAGCAGAGATAAAAGATAGGATGTTATGAAAGCTTCTTCCTTCAATTTTCTGTTCCATATCCGTATATTTAAAAATAGGTAACAGATTAAAAGTCACAAAAAGTATTGTTAAAATTTCTGCCCACATCCTGGAGTCTTGGCATTCTAAAAATTATCACACTACTAGCATTGCATATCTTTAGAGAGAGAATAGTGAGCTAAGATCAAATGCACTATGTCCCCAGGCCTCTGGGAAAAGTCATTTTCCATGATCTAACACATAACAGATGGAGAATGACTGAGAGCTCTGTTGCTTTCTAAATAGAAAAGCAGTATTTTGTTTTCCCATTAGGCTTGTAGGAGAGATGGCTTCAGTCATTAGAGTTTTATTAATCCCTCCAGCTGAGCTATACAAAGGTGTAAAACTTAATACTCTCAAAGTACAATATCTATTTATATGGATTAGTTAAAAGTGATAAGCCTTTTGCCGTTTTGTCTCCTACTAAGGCAGCAAATGTCAGTTTAACCAAAGAAATTTCAAGATCATACAAACAATCTTAGAAATCACTATGTTGTAGAAATACTTCAATTTCACATATGTTTTCAGTGCTTTTCACTACTCAGCCAGCTAGAGAGGAAAGCTGGAGGCTCAGTGTTGCATATGCTAAGCTTCATTTCCAGTCCTGTATCTATAGCTCATCTGCACTCAGCTGTAACTGGAATTTCAATTTAGGAAAGTTCACAAAAGGGTTAAAGGAATATCTCACCAACATGCAGAGATCTTCAGAAACTACTCCCAATTTGTCACCGAAATAACAAAGAAAGTCAGAAGCACACTGTTCTATACCAAAAGAAACAATAAACATTTGTGTATGTACAACCATGACACATGCAGGCTAATCTCTGGAAATCAACATGAATAAGATGAGTACAATATGAAGAATAATTATTCTTAACTTTAAATAACCGTTTTTTGTGTTTTGCACTTGACTTCATATATGTTATCTAATAGAGTTTTCATAACAATCATAAGAAAAGATGTAATTATCTTCATTTTCTAATTGTGGAAAGGTGAAATGATTTGTCCAATATTATAAATAAACTAGGTGTCATTAACAGGAACTAAACACAGAGCTGGCTGACTTTGGACCTTGTATTGCTGGTTTATGTTTTTTTAAGTTTTGTTTTCTGATCACATTGCATTTAATTAAAAATATATATATTGTGTTATGTGGAATGTAGGAATATGAATTATTACCTCTGTATGTTGCAGGGTGGGTGAGAGTATAAAAGGCAGTGAACCCTGATATATAGCTATCCATAATGACTAGAAATGTCTGAAAAATCTTAGGTAACTGTATTATATGACAAGCAGTAGTCAAAAGCAGTAGAGTATGGAGAAACCCACAGCATCAGTCCATAGAACACAGCATAGATCGAAAAGCAGTTTGGTGACTTTTTTTTTTTTTTTAACCTACGCCTGGAAAGGTTTTCATCATCAATCGGTGCATTAATTCTATTTGGCTCCTGGAAACAGTCATTTGCTTAATAGCTCCTTTGTGAACAAGGGAGTTAATGCACAACCCCAAATGGCTTAACTTCCAGCTGGGGAGGAGTTTAGCCAGAGGAGGAAAAAGAATCTAACTTCATTTTTCACATATAATATGAGGAAGAAAGTTGGCACAAACTGCATCACTATCTTTGTTGGGAAGCAAAACTATTCTGTTTTAACACAGGTCACTGAGACATAGCAAGTAATTTTCACATGGAGGTATTTTCTTGAGTCAGTGTAAATGGAGGAAATACTTGAGTGAAATACAGAATGTCCCACTTTGACTGTTCACCTTTTCTGAGGCCTACTGTGAGACATTTGTATTAGCAAGTTTGATCTAAATTCTATGTACCTATCTTAATTTTGTGAGAGAAAAATTAAGCTATCTGCTCCAATAAATATTTACAGTCTCAGAAACCTAAAGGAGCATTTCTACTCAATCCTACAAAGTCTCTATGAATTGAGTGGACTATACGATAGTGACTTGTTTTGTTTAATGTTTACTTTAGGAGTACTCAGGTAGCACATAGAGCTAAGTACTTATTAATAGCAAAACAAAATGGTGGTTTGAACCCATCCATAACCACTTTGGAAAGTAGTCCAATGATCTTAAATAGTTTCCAAAAGATCCGAATTTTGAAAACTTCGGAGTCAAGTTCTGTCAGCAACACATGTAGTCTCCATGAGTTGGAATAGACTGTATGATAGTTAGCAACAATAATTTTAAATTGAAAACCTTGAAATCATTATAAATAATTGTCTATAAACTGAATATTCATTATATTGCATGATTCAGGATCGACTAAACAACAAAATATTAAGTTATTTTAGAAATAATTAATTATACTATAAAAATCTTAAGAAACAGATATAATTGTACATTCATGATTCTCTTATCAGGTAATAAAACAAGAAGAATTTAGCAAGGATGTGTCTGATTGTACTTTGTATGATCTACTGAAATATGATGATTTTAACTCTGACAAGCACCTGGCACTTGAAGAATTTTATAGAGCATTCCGTAAGTAAAAGACTCATTCTCTAATTCATCTTTGTTCTTTCTCCTGCTTCTTTACACTATATGGTATGTTTGCTTGGGCTAACAGTACAAGATTAATTCTTTAAAAGTGATATATTTGAGAGGATTAAACTTTTTGACTTTATGTAAACACATATAAAACTAATGGTTTTAGTAGTTATACAATGAAGAGTTTGAAATATTTGATATATTTGCAAGCTATTCTTTCTTTTTATTCTTATCGATTAAAGTTTAGACATTACTCATCATATTATTGTGGTTAAGTTCCGTTGAGTGGGTTTCAACTCATAGCAACGCTATATAGTTTCCAAGGAACAGTTGATGGGTTTGAACTGCTGACCTTGTGGTTTGCAGTCCAGTGCTGATCCACAGCACAACACCAGAAGACATATAGCATGCAAATTTAAGCACAACACTTTATAAAATGCCATTGAAAACCAAAATGGAATGTACATTTATAAGAAGATCAATAATTAGCATAGAAATGGAAATATTTTTTTATGCAAAGATATTAAGTATTTTTTACTTGCTTATTGGTTTATTAAAATTGACTCAGAATATTTTATAAAGCAGAATTATCAAAATGACTTGGTAGGGTAGTTAAAATACAAAATTACCAGATCTCTTTTAAAAATTCTTCAAAGAGAAAGGACTAGGAAGAAAACACTAGAAAGCAAAACCTTAGGAGCTATGAGCAGGAGAAAAAGTCAAATTAACCAACTGATGTTTGAGAATAATAATAAAAAAAAGAAAAGAAAAGTTCAACAGGATTTATTTTATAACCTAAATCCATTATTTTTAGTGTTAAGATTCAGTTTAAAATTCCCTCATATGAAAGTAAGTAAAAAGTATGTGTTACTAGGGTTCCACTTGACATGTGCATGGGTTTATTCTAAATAAAGCACTTTGAAACGTATCTCTGTAATTAGTGGATGATTGAGGACAAATTCTCTTAGTAAAACTCTTGTTTTATGGTGCCTTCATAAAACGACCTTTTATCGTAATAGTGACTTCAGAGAGGATCTTCTGTATCAGTTCTGTTCAAGCTAGAGAGGTGAGCTCAGAAGGTTATGGTGACTGTTCATTTAGGATCCCATAGGGTAATGGGCATAGGTTTTCTAGATGTACACAGGACTATGATGGGGCTTATTATGCTGATGTGTTAAGGAAAATGAAAACTGCATTGGTGAGAAAATGGCCAGGAAGATTGTGCTGCAGATTTTTTCCCCCCATCACTATTTTATACTTGCTCATTCTCAAAAGGTTACAAGGGCTGTCCTATGAAAATATTGTTGTTTTGAATCATAATGACCCAGTATAAGCTTTCTGAGACTGCACATTCTTAAAGGATCAGAAAGCCTCTTCTTTCTTCAAAGGACTTGCTGGTGTATTCAAACTGATGACCTTGTGATTAGCAGCCCAATGTGCAATCCCTATACTACCAGGATTTGTACCATACCAGGGAGTCCTGGTATGATACTGTAGGATAAACACTGACAGCAAGCTCAATTTGAACCACAGGCTGGCAGTTCAACCTCACCAGCCACTCCTTGAAAACCCTATATAAGGTCACTAAAAGTTGGAAATGCCTAGACAGCATTTAACAACGATAGATAGATGATAGATAGATAGATAGATAGATAGATAGATAGATAGATAGATAGATAGATAGATAGATAGATAGATAGACAGACAGATAGATACATAGATACATAGATAGATACATAGATACATAGATACACAGAGAGAGAGAGAGTCCTGGTGTGGCGCTGTGGGTTAATGCGCCGCCAGATTGCAAAGCCGTTTGAACTGCAAGGTCGGCGATTCAAGCTCATACATATGTGTGTGTGGTGGTGTTGCTGTTATGTTCCGTGGAGTTGGTTCTGACTCATAGCGCGAACCTGTACAGGGTTCCCGAGGCTGTAAATCTTTATGGGAGCAGAAAGCCTCATCTTTCTCCGGCGGCAATATATATGTATATATTTATTATTTATTTTTTTATTTTTTTTGAAACTATAGAATGTAGGCTAGGCACTTGTTGAGAAGCATTATGCCTTTATCATCTATTTTTTACTGATAGCAAGAAAGTGCTTACATCTCTTATTGTTTTTTAAACCCAAGTGTTATGGATTGAATTGTGTTTCCCCCCAAAATTGTGTCAGCTTATCTGGGATAATTCTTAGTTGCCTGGCAGTTATATAATCATGTAATTTGGAAGTTAGCTAACTATGTAATCATTCCCCCGTGGTGTGATCTGATGTGACAATCAACCAGTATTGAGGGGATTAGGACAGGATGTAACATTCTTAATCAGACCACAGCCCTGCCCTATGTACATGAAGTTTCTTTGTGTTATTGGCCCAAATTGTTTCTTGCAAGAGACAAAGAGAGAAAGAAGTTAGCGGAGATGGAGGAACCTACTTTGAACAAGGAAGAAAAGTAGTGAGCAGAAGTTTTGCTGGTAGACATAAGAATAGTATGAGTATATAGTATAAGTAAGGAGCTCTGGTAGCGTAGTGGTTACGAATTGGGCTGGGAACCGCAAGGTCAGCAGTTTGAAACTACCAGCTATTCCGCGGGAGAAAGATGAGGCTTTCTGCTCCTGTAAAGAGTTACAGCCTCGGAAACCCTGTACAGGGTCGCTATGTGTCGGAACCGACTCCACGGCAAACAACAACAACAATAGTATAAAGTGAAAGAAGATAAAAAGTAATTTGGAACCAAGAAAATGTTACTGATTAAAAATCAATCAATAGTAGCTTTAAGATTTCCTAAAAGTGAACTTTGTTTTTATAGGTAAAATTATTTTAATACTTTTCAACAGACATTAAATATTCAATTATTTTTCATTTTTCTTATAGTTCTTTTGCCATTATATGTAAAGTCTTTTGGTACTTACTAAGATATTTAAAACTATCTCCTTGTGAGCTCTAAAAATTACTGATCATTCTTAATTTGATTAACAAGCTTAGAAATCTGTTTAGTGGCGTTCAATAAATACTAAGTTATTTCAGTGATATACTTTTGAATATTTAGAGGAAATCCATGACCCTTGGACAAATGGTGTAAACCTCTCCCCCTGGCTTATTTATTTATTGTTTTGTATTGTGCTTTCAGTAAAGTATGAAGATTTTCCAGTCAAAATTTATATATTTTTGAGAGAGCTAGATCCTTTTCAAACTTAAATATGAGTTATAAGTGACTATATTTTATTTTAAGGAGCTCTGGTAGTGTAGTGGTTACGAATCGGGCTGCAAACCACAAGGTCAGCAGTTCGAAACTACCAGCTGTTCCACGAGAGAAAGATGAGGCTTTCTGCTCCTGTAAAGATGTATAGCCTTGGAAACCCTGTACAGGGTCACTATGAGTCAGAACCGACTCCAAGGCACACAACAACAACAACATATTTTATTTTAAAAATAATTTTTATTTTATTTTACCTCAAAGTATAATTAAAATAGTTGACCAAATTTGATTTGCATGCTATACTGTAATTCTGATTTAAACCTTTTGTTAAATGCAAGTGATTTGCTGTTTAAAAGACCACATACTGAATAACAAAAAAACAAAAACAAAACTCACTGCCATTGAATTAATTCCAAATTATACAGATCCTCTATAGAGTTTAGTTGTTGTTAAGTGCCATCAAGTTGGTTCTGACTCATAGTGGCCCTGTATAGGATTTCTCATATTAAGCTGGTGAGTTTGAACCACTGACCTAGCAGTTCAAACCAGCCTTGCAGTTGAGAGCTTATCCTAGAGTGCCACACCTGGAGTCAAAAATCTGAACTCTCTCCCTTGGAGCAGCTGGTAGGTGTGATCTGTTGACCTTGCAGTGCTTATCTTATAGCACCACCAGGGCTACTTATACATGGAAATGTGTTGTTATTAAGTACCATTGAGTTGTTCTCACTCATAGCAACACTATATATATAAGAGTTCTAAAGCTGTGAATATTTACTGGAACCAAAAGTCTTATCTTTCTCCCATGGAGCACTGATCCTGTGTTTAGCAGTTAAGTGATTATCCTGCACACTTCTAACATTGCTCCTATATACTGATTTTTTGTTAAGTTCTATTGAATTGGTTTGACCCATAGCAACCCAGTATAGGATTTCCAAGGAGCAGTTGGTGAGGTGTACTGCCAATTTGTGATTTGCAGTCCAGTGCTGATTTTACAGCGCCACACCAGGAGTCCACACACTGAACATTATTTTTGTTGTTGTTAACTGCCGTGGAGTGGATTCCGACACATAGCAACCCTGTATAGGGTTTTCAAGGAGCAGCTGCTGAGCTTGAACCAGCGACCTTGCAGTTCAAATTACTTTGCAGTCTGATGCATTAGCCTACAGCACCACACCAGGACTGCATACTGAATAGAAGTCTTTAGTTTCAGAAATGAAATTCAGATTAATGTTTATTATTTATTTATGTTAGACATAAAATCAATTGAGATAATAAAGTGGTGTTATATAATTTACTGATTTTAAGAATTAATTTTTTCACTGGATTTTTCTAAATAACCAAGAATGATAAAATGACTATTCAAAGAAAGAGTATTTGTCTTAAAAATATTTTATATGTACCTTAATTCCTTACTTACATTATAAATTCCTTTGACTGTAGTATGAAATCTTATGGCTGTATGAAATTAGGAAAGAAGATAAGTCTGATATTTATAAAGTCCATTTAAACTGTAATTTGTTGCTGCTCCCAAACCACATCTATTCATTTTCAAGACAGAACAAATTCTAATGGCACTTTTAAATATATTTCTATTAATTCAAAATTATCTATTTGTGAAGAGGTCCAAAGGAAGATATATTTCTACTAGTCATAAAAATACTTAGGCTATTTCAAGTACAATGCATCAACTGTGAACATTTTATATTGAAACTAATTTTGTAATAGATTTATTTCTGCCTTTTCAAAATAGATGGCTGGGATTTTCGAATTCTAAAATATTTTTTAATAAGAAGAGT